TAGCCTAACATATTAAACAGGAAGACCACTGTGATTTTTCCATTTATTTCAACAAAGTAACTGTATTCTGAATACCACCTTTTTAAACGGTAAATGTAACGGAATACAGTTACTCATATTTTGTATTTTAAATATGCAACACCGGTACATGTATTCCATTACTCACCAACACTGCTTGCCAGTGTATATGAATAGGAGGAGGAAGATGGCAGAAGGGCCGAATGTTGAGGTGGTCTCTGTGTTTGTCAACATGGTGAAGTCTAGGCTGCTGCTAGAATTTGAAGTTTATAAGGCAGCCTCAGACCTACACACTTTTCCTCAGGTCTGGGGTTGCAGAGAGGCAATCTGTAGTGTGGTGGAGGGGCACCTAGTTTTTGGGCAGGTGTTAATGTAATTATTTGATATATTGTGCTTTTTTTGATTGATTTTGTGTTACACTTCAATATAACGGGTGTGGTAATATGTCGATTATCTATTGAGAAATAAAAGTATTTTTTAAAAATCAAAATCTCTCTCTTTTAGGTGCTGTTTCTTTTCTGAATGTGTTTTGTTACAGATGCAGCAGTGGGTGACCTGTTGTGCTTTACTAGTGCTTTGCCCTTTTTTGTCTGTTCCCCATTTCTTCCCCTTTTTTGTCTTTAAATAGTTTTTTATATTGAGCCTGTTAACTCTGGCATCGTCACACTACACATATAAAATAAAATAAAATAAAATAAAATAAAATAAAATAAAGCAAAAAGGACAGGGCATTTACAACATGATTCTTTTTACTAAAGCTGCCAGACAGGACAGGTTGATTAAAAACCAAAAAAACCCCAAAACAACCGTCTCCCCAATTTATTTATTGTTTATATTGATTTATTTATATGTTATGCATGTGTTTATTAATTTATTTTACATTCCCATATACAGTATTTAGTTCAGTTTTATTCTGTGTTAGTTATCTCAAATACATCAGAGGTGTGTTAATTATTTCCAACATTTCTAACCTGGTATCCTGTTCTCTAGATGAGTGAAGCTGTTTCAGTGTGCAGGACACACAGAAGCCGTGAAACATGGCCTGTACATCACAGTCTGCTGAAGGTTATATCAGAAGTGCAAGACGCCACCTTGTGGGAGAATTAAAGAATCTAACTGTGATTTTAGAGAACTTATATCAGCGAGGAGTTCTCTGTGATGAAGAGGTCAGTAAAATACAGGCAGAGAAGGACGACTACGACAAAACCAGAAAAATACTGGACTCAGTCACAAACAAAGGGGAAAAAGCCTGCTATGAGTTCCTCAAAATTATTGACATGACAAGGAAGAGGACTTTAGTGAGACATCCTCTTCATCCTGGCACCAAGACATTTGACCTGCATCATTGGATCAGCTGCTTTTCCTTCAAGGAAGACACCGAAACGAATGCAAACTACTTACAAGGTATTCTGAAGCAAAGATCCAGATTAAATATTTGTTACATTTCATTTTCTTTGTTATCTTTGATGTACTGATTCTATAAAATGTGCTTTAATATGCTGGTATAAATATGTATCCATTATTTTGTAAGAAAACTACATTTGATTCAAAGTCACTTTGTTTTCTCACTGTTTTCAGGACCAAGGCCATGCCACAGATATCAGGAAAAGTTAAAGTCAAATGCAAAATAGATGTCAAATAAGTTTTGGGGAGAAAGTAAAAAGCTGTTTGGAGGAAACAAGAAGCCT